GTGCTATTTTACAGTTATATACAGACAAGAGTAAAAGGCACACAAGTACCCCTATAGCTTAACATGCCTGTGGACTTCAGGCTCCTTCATGTGGCAGGTGGACACCAGCATCTGTCTGGGTCCTGGCCTCTTCCCAGTGCATCGCCTCCATCCCAGCCTCTCTGCAGCCTAGCACAGGGGGGGCATCTTTTCTTGGGAAACTGGGGATCACCCGCATTTAAAGAAAAGGTCCTGCTTTAGAAGGAGCTTTCACACCTTGGAGAGTACATTTTAATTGTACTAAGACAGGAGATCACTAGATGTCCTCATAACCTAAGAGATTTGGGCAGATCCAGGCTTAGGCTGTGTAATTGCCAGGTTTATTTTTAAAGACCTGGCACCCTAAGTGCTGCAGGACTCATGAACGTCACCTCAGGCAATGCACGAGAGCCTTTCAAAACACAGCATGTGAAATTTGGGACACTTTGTCCCATTGGGAAGCTAGAGAATACCACGTTTGTCACTGTTGTTGTCAGAAGCTGCTTGTGTTCCCTAAATCCTGGCAGATGGGACTGGAGATGAGGCAGAGACCTGGTGGGAGCTGTTGGAGAGCTCCAGGGGTCAACTGGTTGCTGGAGCCAACTAATCAACGCAGCAAAACCAGCCCCTGCAGGAAGGACAGCCATGGGGTCGCAGCAGCCGACCAGCCAGCTGGGAACCCAGGAACCACCTGCAGCCCTGGCCTGGCCTGGCCTGGCTGTGCCGTGCCCTCAGGAGGGGCTTGGCCTTGACCCTGGGCCCACCTGGGAGGGAGACCAACCCCCATCTGGTGGTTCCCTCTGTGGAGGAGAGTGGCTGAGGAAGGGGGGAGATGCAGGTGGGTCTGGTTCCTGGTCCAGTCACCGGCGAGTTGCGGTCACTGCCAGGTGAAAATGCACTTTGTGGCCTCAGAGGAAACACCACTCTTTGTGGGCTGGCAGGTGCTTACCTACCGCAGAGCTGTGCCCCCCTGAGGGACAACAACAAAACAGTGCGTTAAGGGAAGACCCCTCCTGTCCACACTGGAGAGGGTTTGGGGACAGGAGGAGAGAAGCGAAGGGATCTTTAGAGCAGCAGAAACATTAATGGGATGGATGGGGCACAGGAAAGAGAAACAGGCAGAGGGGAAACAGAGGTGCAGCCGGCTTGGGGGACGTACCAGGTACTGGAGCACTGGCTGGGTGGTCTTTCGGTGGTCAATACCTTCAATAGCTGTTGCTGTCGCAAAGGGATGGGGACACCCTGGTTAAACCATCCCAGAGGAAGGAAAAAAAAATAATTCTCATTTTCACTGCTGTCAAATTCGGATATGTGTTTTTACTCCTTTTCCCATGTAGATTTTTATTTTAAAATACAGAGCCAGTTTACATTGACTTTAAAAAAAAAAAAAAAGTATTTAAAATGAAGCAGGCCCAGAGCAGGCACACAGCACTGAGCAGGGGTCTGGACTGGACTGGACTGAGAGAGAGGCAGAGGCCGACACCGGAGCGCTGCGGTGTGGAAAAGAAACCCCAACCCCGAGCACCAGCGAAGACCCCGGGGGCGA